TTTTCTTGCCCACTACAGCACTGCTCACTTCAGTGCACTTCCTGGGACAGAGTGAAGTTCCTCTAAAATGCCTCAGTATCTTCTATGGAAGGCAGTTCCTTAGCTATGGACTTACTGCACAGCTGAGTCAGTGCAGACAGGCAAATCACTATTTGCTTTGGGAGGGTTGACACCGATAAAGACACGGGCAAGCAGCACTGGGTGCAAATTCTGGTTCCCTGTGGGCATGTCAGTGCAGGCAGGGCTGGGACTGGTGCTCACGCTGAACCAGGGTCTGTGGACAGCAGTGTGGGGAGAGCAGCACTATCCCGACGGGAGCCAGTCTGGGTGCATTCTGCCTGTGTTAGCACAGTGCTGCGCCCAAACTAATCGGCCCTGGATTTTATCCAAACTACAAGCTGAGCGCCTACCACATCAACAGCCTGTTTTTCCCCACTGGGAAATGACCTCCTGTTGCAAAAGGCAGAGCATTTAAGGAAACAGCAAAGTTTTACAGGCACACGGTTCACGTGGCAAATAACTTCAGAAAGCCTAAGGAGCACGAGCATTTATGACTGGCTGGGATGGGCAGGTTGCAGTGGGATTGCCTCCTCCTCCTCCTCCCCTTACCTACGCAGCTCATTTGCAAAGAAGCAGAGGGTGATGAGCTACATTTACAAGCTGGGCAGGGCAGACCAGAGAGCAGCTCTCACTGAAGGGAAGGAGCAGGCAGTGGTGAGAGCTGTATTGCAGTGCTCAGAAATGACTGTGCTAAATGGTCATGGTGGTGGTAGTGAGTTGATTTTACCTATAACCTATTCTAACTGCAGTCTGCAATCAACATGGCCTGTGGCTTCTAAATGCACTAGAAGCACACAAGTAGGGATGCAGAGCTTCCTTTTTTATTGGCAGCTGATTTTCAGCTGCACATCAAATGAAATCCTTAGCAAGCTGATCATGTGCATAATTCTATAGTTGTCAATATGTAGATGCATTTGGCTGAAATCTCCCTCTTCTGAGGCAACAGGAGCCATTTTACACAGGTGGGGACAGAGGCTGGCCCTACAAGGCTCTCATGCTAGTTTAAGAGAACAGTAACTATGGTGCCCTTGCCCTCAAAGCAAACCCGAGGTCGTGTCAGTCCTTCTTCTCTGGTAACTGCTATGACAGTGAAGGTGCTCAGTGTGAAGATGGCCCTGTATGAAGAATAGATTGGATCATAAAAGCAGAACAGCTGCTTAAGCAGAACGCAAAGAATAGAAGCAATGATGTTGCTGGGCAGAGAAAAGCATTGCAAGAGCTCACAGATAGCCTCCTTTCTCCAAAGGCACATGCGCACTGCTCTCACTCAGTCACATTTCTCTCAAGCTTCCTGGTAGCAGCATCAGCAAGTGTGTTCTGTCACATCTGAGTGGCTACAGGACTCTGTCCTCACCTGACAGTAATGACCTGGCCTTGATTTTTCACATTCTTGTTGCCTCCTTCCCCTCTTTCAGCACCATAAAAGCACTAGGCATGAAACCTGCAGCACAAAGGAAATTCTCACTAGCACAGCCTGCTGCAGTACACTTACCTCAGCAGCACAGGGGCTGCAGGCATGGCAAACCTCACATAACCTACATTAGATTCCTGCAACGTTCCAAATCAGGCACTTAACTCCCAGACTTGGCTGAGACTCATCTCCATGGCCAGACTTAGTATACACAACAGAGACTAAAACTCCGAGGATCATGACGAACAGCTTTGCTCCTTTGGTAAAATTTAATGCTCTACAAAAACAGACAGTTCAGCCCCACAAAAACAGTCTATTTTTGGCCCAAGAACAAATACTGAAATCCCCCTAGAATGAAGGGCCATCCAGATTTCTCCACATACAAATTGCACTGTAAAAGATCAACTCTGGCTGAATGGCTACAGCAAAACACACTTGACATTGCCATGGCCTGGCCTCTGATCTGCCACTGGCCAGAGGTGATGTCATGGGCTGTGTTCACTGTCTGGAAATGAGGAGCAAGAAACACGCTGTGCTGGCTGGCCAGCCAGTCCAGTGACACATCCTGACACAGGCCACAAGGAGACAGGAACAGACTGATAACTCTTAAACATCATGGAAACAAAACCCAGGGAGAAGTTGTTTGTGTATAATCACACTAACTTGGCCAGTGGCAGTGGGTCTAACCACACCTTTAACGCTTTAGTCCATCTCTCCACTGCACCTCCTTAGTCCTTTCTTACCCCTCCTCTCTCTTTCCTCAAGGCTACTTAGCTAATTAAACTGCTGCTGTCCCTGCTTTGTTTACCCCAGTTCTACCTGCACTGAACAGCAGCAAGAGTGCTCTCCCCCTATTGTCACCACTACCTTTGAGAAAAAAGCTGACCTGCAAGCTATTTTTAGCCACATTGTAAAGTTGTGAAGCTATTTTGGTCACATCTCTGTATGAAAGCTGCAGGATGCTGACAGGCTCTGTGTTTGCCTAGGGCAACAGGGGCTTTAACTGGAATGGCTTGTGACTTTGCATTAAGGCTACTCTGCCCTGCCCATGCCATAGGACTCTTTACACCCAGATTTGATTTCTTCTCCTTTTAGGAAAGAGTAATACACCTTCCCGAATTCTGCTGGATACTAGAGGCTCTTTTAAGGCCTCTGCAGAAGGTGCTGTTTATTCTGTTGGCTCCCTCACTCCCATTTGCCTCCCTCCCTAGGAGGAGGCAGGTGCAATTATGAGTTCACAAAAACACCGGACAAGATTTTATCAATCTTCCTTTGCATCAGAACTTTGTAAAAGATCAATAAACATTAGTCGAGTGCCTGCTGAGAAGTCGGGTGCACATATCTCTGTGGAAGTAAAAGGAAGAGCAGAAAGGAACCATTTGCACAGCAACACGTTGTTCTGAATACAGAGTAATGCCTGGGAGCTCTGGGGTACATCCAGGGCATTGGGCAGAAGGTGCCTGGTCTAGACAGTTGTTTTCTCTGGAGTGCCCAAGGGTTGGTTGCCAAGTTTGCTGGGGTTCTGTAGCAGGTGCAAAGCACAGGCAGAGTAGAAGCCAAAGCAGCTGGATTTAACAGAATTAAGCCCATAGATGCAAAAAGAAGCTTGAAGGATATGAAATACAAGGTAAATGATAGGAGAGAAAAGAAAATACTGAAACTGCTGTATTTAGGACAGATGAGTCAGATCTATAAAGGAGGAACAAGTATGAAAGTTTTTTAGCAGCTGTCAGCCAACACACCCCAGAAAAGTCCCCTTAGGACTACTGCTGTCTTCAGCTACAGTGCATGTTTTCCCAAGACCCTTCAGGCAGTGGTATTAACAGCTGTGCACCTATTTCATTTGGAACAAGCCCCTGATGCAAGAAGAAGAATCAGAATTTCATCGTCAGGCTTCAGAGTCTCTCATATATTTTCCCCTCCAGCTTTCTTCTAAAGGTGGTTCTTTAACAGTTCTTACACCAAAACTTACATCCCGCTTCTAAGGTGAGACACTTCTTATTTCACTGATGCAACTTGCACCTGCTTTCGTGAGTCAGCACAAGCCACATATCTCCTCCATAGCAGGATCAGTGCCTGCTAACAGGATGGACTGTCCCAGGCAAACACTGGTGACCTGTTGTAAACAAAGATTTGGTTTGCAGAGCATCTCTGTATTTCACTGTATTTCATCTCTGTGTTTCAGCAGAAGGAGCTGCTTCAACTCATTTGGTCCCAGGCAAGCATTAATCTGTGTTATATACTTTACAATCTTCATGCCAGGGAAATCAGCTGACCATTAACTAATATTTTATGACACGAAAATTAAAATTAGCTTAGTAAGAATTTAACTTTTTAGTCAATAGGTGGAAACAGCACGGACAGAAAGTATTGTTTAATATGTTGTTATTTTAGCAGGACAGAATGGAACTGTCGCAGTTCAGATCAGACACAGAGACGTGTCCAGCAGCAATATGTCAAGACCTGTTGGATCAAAAAGCTCAATGAAGTGCTTTGTGTTTCAGCTTCCCCCAGAGCCACAAACAACACTAGCATCAAGCATTACATGGTGAAAATGTTTTGGTCAGATCAAATAACAAAGCAACATGTTGCATTATTTCCCCGCTGAGCTTCAGCAGCCTTTCTTTGGGACGCTGCACAAGCACGATAACAAACACAGCACGACAAGAGTGGCTGACAGATAACCTGTTGGCTCCTGCATGGTGGACCCATGTTCCTGCTGGCAGAGCTTTGCCAGTGTAGGGAGTAACTACTTCACCTTTCATCACCTCTCTAGATTCTTAGTTTTCATCCACTTTCACACAATTTATCTTACTGTGAGAGCATTACTGGAATCACCGGTCTTCACCAATTATTTAATGAAGACATTCTATCGCCATCTCCACAACGTAGATATTTTACTAGTAAATATAAAGACATTGATTTATTTTAATATGCCTACACCTGTTCTATTTTCCAGTATGGAAACATCAGGCTTACAGTAACAAATCACAGGCAGCTCACCCCGTAGACGTAGTCAGGGGTTGTCCACCAATTGTGTGGTTCGTGACGAGCGCACACACCACGCTGGAGCTGACAACTGCAATTGTTCCCGATCTCCTCTAGGGAGTGCAGTCGGAAAGGAAGAGACGGAACCGCAGCGCACACGCCAGCTGGGAATCGGTGACTCAGGATATTCAGTCACAAATGGTGTCCGTCCGTTTCCAGCTGAACGCAGGGAGCAGCGATGAGGTTTGAGCTTGACGTAAGAGCAGGATTCTACTCGAACCCGAGGTATGCCTTAGGATGTGAAAGACAGGTCTGCCAAGATACTAAAATTCAAGATGTAAATCAAGGATGTAAATGTAAATAGAGCTTCAAATACTGGATCAATTGTTTAAGCCAACGCCCCCATAGCTGAATGGAGCATGGGCAGCACTTGGGGCTTCCATCTCTTTCACCCAAGTATATCATGATGCACATCCATCAGATCATCCAGGGAAGGCATGGTCAGTCTGAAAACATCATCTAGGCCTTGGTCTCTGTGCAAAGAACATCAGAGACGTTAATTCTAGAACTAGATGTATTTTGAGTGTATGTGCACAGTGTACTAGAAACCGGGCAGAGCCATCAACTTATTTTACCCTGTATTCATGAAACAGCCAATCAAATAGTATCTGGCTGATCTCCATGGTAAGGAATCATGGATGAAAAGGCATAAGGTTGCCTATTTTCTCCTTACAAATCACATGCATGCCTCGATTCTATGACCTTCTACACCTTTAAAGAAGAACCAGAACACAAAATGAACATAAAACTGGATCTTTGCCCTCTTCCCCCCCTCAAAAAATAATAATAATCCATGTTCCCAGTCTCAAGAAAAAAAATATTAAGGAATGCAGAAGTCATAATATCATCTACCTAAGGCAAAAGGTAAGAGAACAAATTTGCCAGGTAAGAGTTTGGACAGAAAAGCAGGTCTGCAGGAGGGACATACCTACATTCAGAGAGGTGCCAGGGTTGATCCACAGCAGAGGGTGCAGTGACTTCTGCAAAGTTACTGATACTTTGTGACAAAGTAGGTCTGTGGAACCAGTGAAGAGCGGCAGCTTTGAGGACAGTGGGGTTGGGAAACCAAGAGACAATAACCACTGCTGCTTATGGACAAAGCTGCCAGGCTGACACAGACACCTTGCCACATACAGAAATCACCTACAGCAAAACAGGAACAGACATTCACATATCCTAAGGACAGCAACCAGACCAGCAGCCAGGGACTTCACTTTCAGCCAGGCATTTAAGTGGCAGCAGATACCTGTGGGACAAAGCCAGTCTTGTGATTTTAGAGACTAAAAGTTCCCTCAGTAGCAGGTGAGAAGACAAGAGCTTCTGTTTCTAGATGTGGGCTCTGCAATTAAACTGCCAGCAGCTGGCTCAGTTTAGAATGAGCAGCATTGCTTGTATCTGCTAGTGGGATACAACCCAGGGGAAGGAGGTACAGGCACTGAGCACAAGCTTCATGTTTACTCAGCAAGCACCAGCTGAAGAGAACCATCTGATTTCTAAACTCCTGTTGCCTCCCACTTTTTCTCTCATCATCACACTACATATCTAAGCCACATATAGGATATCACAAACTAGTTTGCTCATACACTCCCTTTATTACAGCTCCTGTTGCTCTTTGTTCACCTGTCTCCCTCAAGCACCATACCAGAAGCCCCCCCATAATGACACAGGAGGAAAAGAAAGAGCAAAAGCCTGTAGAAACTGATAAATAAAAAAGAACCATCAGCTCTTTCTTGCCCTTGCAAATGACAGTGTCTTCTTCCTGACCTGTCCCATCCACTCTTAAATTTTCCCACCAGCATTAATTTCTATTGCTGTCTTGAGTTACAGGTATTTTTTTAGTAGAAGCAAGGTAAGGCAAGCTTAGCATCAAGAGAACCTCAGAAATCTGTAAGAATATTTTTGGTGAGGGCATAATTGATTTCTAGGGGGATGTTCATGATGTATCCATTATCACACTCCCAGAACTTCATTCTCCACCTATTTAGGATTCCCACACTGGATTTTACAACCTGCCTTCACATATGAGATGTTGAAGCTTTCAATGAGGTCACGCCAGACACTGACAAGCACTGATGGGTGAGTCATGCTGCAGTAGCCAGAGATACTAGCAACAGATTTGTTAATCTGTATGCAGTCTAACCCTTTTTCTGGTCTAGGATCTTATTCAAGGGTGAAATACAATGTCTCAGAGATAGGTGACTGCAGAATTGCTGAAGAGCAAGGCCACATTTTCACAACTATTTTACAGATTATAATAAGAATCAGTTCCTGGGAGCATGTTTACAATAATGCAAAATGTTGGTTTAGCTATAAAACCTATAAAACAGGAGATCAAGATCCAGATGGGGTCAACAATGTTCATTGCAGATCACTGGAAAAGCCACCATGCTAATACAGAATCTAAGTTCCACCTGCTCTTGCTCCAGAAGTTCCAATCATCATCTCCAGCAAACTGTTCTTCCAGAAGCTACATCCCTGTACCAGGAGAGCAGGTGTAAATACACATCCATACACCAGCCAGTCTAGGACAAAGGCCAGTGCAGTCACAGCACTGTTAGGCTTGGGTCTGAGCTAAGACATCCAGCCCTAACCCAGCAGGGTCAGGCAGAGAGCAAACTCTCTTCTGCTGGCTCTGCTGTGGGGGGGAAACCTGTGGAGAAGGATTAGACCAGACCATTTCCTGATCTGCCACAGGAAAATTCTCCATGGAAGCTTTGGAAGTGTGGCAAGGACACACTTGGAACAAGTGAGATAGGGGGACTGAGTGCATAACAGCAGAAAAAAGTTTCATAATCTTGGCTGAACTACTGAACAGTCAGAGAAAGAACCAATAATAAAGGGAAGAGGCAAAGTAAATCTAAAAGAGATTCTGCAGACAGACAACAAAGAAATGAGGTGCTGTTGTATTTTCATTGCTACAAAGCTAAATTAAGCTTCCTAAGTCAAGCAGAGAAATAAGAGTTTTAGACTTCTATTCAGAAAACAGCATGAGCAGCAATTGCCAGTGGACAACTAACAAAAGGTGTCTTCTCTCAGAGAAAGAAAGCCACCAGCAGATTGCATAATTGTAATGAGTTTCCTCCCAGTTTCACATTATTAGTCACCTTTCACCCCTCTCTGCCAAAGGCCTCTTCTTACCCATCCATCCAAGGACCAGAGCCAAGGCACAAGCCTTTCCTGTGCTACTTCTTTCCATCAGCCATTCTTCAAGGTCAAGGCCTCCACAATATTGATCACTGTGCCCATTCCAGGCATTCTGAACCAATGCCAGAGTAAAACCCCCTTCAGCCCTGCTGTTGGGAAAAGATTCGAGACACCTGAATAGACCCTCCTTATACTCATTTGTCATGGCCTGGAAAAGCAGTTAGTCCTGAAATTGTGCAAATATTTCAAAGCAAAACCATTGCAAAGATTCATCGAAGAGCCTTCACCAGCAGAAGACATCCTACCTAGAGTCCCTTGGAAACCTCTTTGACTCAAGTGGAAATGACCCACTGGCATTTATTTGTAATTGCCCAGCATGGCAGTGGCTGAGGAAGGAAAAGCTATTGAGTCACACTGCAAGCCACTTTTCCACTTCTGTCTGGTTGCCCAGAGGGTAGAGTGGGACAGTCAGAAGGCTGAGATTTTGTTTATGTCTCCAAAACTGATTATCCATATGACCTTGCATGTACTTCTTGTGCCACCATTTTCCCACTTCTTAATACCTAAAACCACTCGACTCACGGGTCAGTCAGAAGTGCCCAGCAAGGAGCATGTTTGTTCCTCTAATAAAAGGTGTTATTGTTGTCATACAACACAAAAGCAGTTACGTAATAACATCAGTATTGCTTCATTTTTGTCATTACAACACAAACTGTCAGAGGGACAGTGCCTGACATGATATCTTCATCCCAGTGAATGCACCCAAGTGTTTACTTCATTGATACAAAACCAGATTACAACAATCTGGAAGACTCTACCTCGTTTATTTTGACCATCTAGAACATGTTTTTCCTGTATAACCTCATAACCCATAATAATGGCCCAAACTGCACTATTGGAATGATGGTAGGTTTCATGAGCCAGTAAAAGGAGAACAATTCCTCACTTGTGCATTGCACAACTGCTCACACACTAAAGCACACAAGTGCTTCTCTTCTTTGTAAGCAGACAACAACCTGAAAGTTAGTTTCTAAACCTGCACATCATACACACACAGAACACTTTTTAAAAAATCTCAGTGCCAAGAAAGAATTAAAGGAACTCCCTAATTTGGCTAAATTACATTCTGCTTGTCTGATGACAAATTTCCTAAAAAAAAGCATTGACAAATGCTGTTCATAACTGCTCTATAATTAATAAACAAATTTCTTTGCTTCAAGTTCTCTGACTTATTCTAAAATGTAAAATCCTTTGCTTAAAAATGGCCAGATTCAAGTAACATGTGGTCAGAAGGCTGAGGAAGGCATGGCTGTGATTACCACAGCTGAAACCGTGCCCTAATCACACTCTTATCTTTCTTATCTGCTGCCAAGTATTTATAAAGCAATGATTACTGTACTAGGCCACATCACTGCTCTGAGTTTGTTCTGAACCAGCACCTTTGTGTTGCTGTAAGAAGTTCACACTGTTAGGGCTGGTGTCATTTTGCTGAGACAGAAAGCCAAACTTCTCATCACTTAAAGTCATTAAAAAAAAATAAACTATGACACCTCTAAAGGAGTAGGGGTGTTAACCCCAATGTCCTGGCCCAACTCCCAGCTTGAGTAATTACAACGTGCCTTGAATAAATTCTTGCCACAGTTTCCTTTGGACACAGTATTGTTCTCTACTTCCTCTCCTACAATATTATGGAGTGCTGATGTGTGCTCTTAAAGGTCCTGTCCGTGCTGGAATGTCCTACAGGTCTACCCCAGGACCAGCTCTGCAGCAGCACATTGGGAACAATGTGTTGAAACCAGTTCTGCCTGTCAGCTGAACCGCTAGGCAATTTGTAATATTTATTTATTGATGTTCTGGCACGTCCTCCAGATGGAATTAACTTTGAGTATGGCTAACTGATAGATAGACTGGTGCAAATCCCAGATACAGACATACTCTTTTATTACATAAATGGACTAAATTTAAATCAGGAAATTACCAAATGAAGCTAAACTAACTTTCTAGGTGCCTGCTATGGTCATCTGAGAAGGCAGCAAGAACATGCCTCATGCACAGGACTAGGAAAGCTAAATGTGCTGTTTAGTTTAGCTGACAACAATCAAGGTAGTTTTCACACTGGCTGTTCCTTCAGAATTTCAGTGGACTTTTTCTAAACTGTCTGTTCACAGACGATGCTGTACGTCTTTGAAGCAGTCACTGAATTCGTACCAAATACAGATCTAGTATTTTAAGTAAAATACTTGACTGTTAATGCAAAAGCATTATTCACATTTTTCTGCAGCCACTGTTAGACTCTAAGGATTTTTACCTAGTGCTCTCATTATCTTTTTATGTGTGTAACACAAAGAGCTGAGGCCCAGACTCTCTGCTGGCATTTGCCGGGTTAGCTCCACAGACCTTGCTAACTCTCATAATTCATGAGCTTTAAAGGCAATTTGTCTGCAGGAAGAAGTACAAGATCAAGATTCAGAAGAATCCAATTTTCAATTCTACCTTATGACCCCGTGGGTGGATCACTCCCTCACTGCTCCATTTTGTTCTCCCACCTCCAAAAGCAAATGATACCCACTAATTTGACAAAACAAGTACAAAATCAAATTTGTACTGACAGGCCATGCTGAGCCGTTCTGCCTTAAACACCATTGTTCTAACATTTGAAAATACAAATATTTACCTTTCAAGCATGTCCCTAATTTCCCCAGAAGCATGTCTCCAAACCCATTTTATTTTAGAAGACAGAAACCGTATTTTCAGAAAGTGAATGGTTTTATTTTTCTGTCATTACAAAAATGCCTTTTAACTTGTCAAATGATACACTACAAATATCTTTGGCAGATGAATGAAACCAAGTTTCCTGTCATAGCTGCCAACTTCGAGGTTGAGATAATCAGATAAACCTTTAGTTTGCTTCTCCCAATACCTAAACTACATGTGTTCAAAGTGATCCACATCTGCCTTACTTTTCCTATTGGGATTTGAAAAGGCAAAGTGTCAGACCACTATGTGCCAAGTTCACAAAACTCTAGGTGTGGTCCACAGTTGTTTCAGCCAATCTCTGGTCTCAACTTTCCCCCATCCCAGGTTGAATAGTCCCCAGTAGCTCTGCTTGTCTAAAGGTAAATGCCAAGTTTACATACATAGTATCCAGCATCACCCTAAAACGCCTGCTGGATACAAAGCCTTTTGATACAAAATACCTATTAGATTAGGGGAAAACAGGAAGGAAGTTTGTTTTGCTTGTTTTATTTCAGCAGGAGCAGTAATACTGGATTTACGGAATTGGATTATTTCATACTGGGGACACTTCAAAACTGAATATTTGCAGGGTACTTTATAACCGAGTGCACTGTCCCTTCAGTATAAACCTGAATTCAAAAGTGGAAGCCATCCCTACAAACACACCTTTGACAAAGTTTGTGTCTTATGTAACTGTTTCTATTAATTTATTATCAGGATGTCAGTACGAATTGTTATTTTGATGATTCCTTGCCCCCATACTTCTGAAAGGGAAAGCAACTGTAAACACAAGGGAGACTGACCTCAGTGATTTCCTCTGTTCAGACAGGAGCACAATGCGCTCAAACACCAAGACAAGGAGAAGTGGACTGTTTAGAATTCCTCCAGCTGTAATCTATAGTAAAAACAAATAAACAAATACGTGACTACAAGATGCGATAATTAATCCCTGCATGAAGCCAACTGTTATCTCTGCTTCATAGATGGAGATACCAAAGCACACAAAGGCTCAACAACCTACCAAGTTCAACACCAAGACTGAGAGCCAAGACTACAGCTTGGGAGGCCATGTGCTCAGTCCATGAGATTTTTTTTTTTTCCTTTTGGCCAAGGGCAGGCTGAAATGTACCCATTTGGTGAGGGCAGTTGCACAAGAGTTACCACCTACCACCTCCTGGGATCGTCACTGCCGGTAGCTGAGCTGCTCCTGACTGGAGAGGCAGCTCCACTCAGCCTTACCCCAGCCAACCTGCCCCCAAACCACCCTATTCTCCCACACATGCCCCAGGCCTCTCCACTGCCCTCATACTTCATCCCTCCACCAATGTCCAGGCCCCATCAGCCCCATCGCTGAGCCTCCCTTCTCTCTGCTCCCTCCCAGAGCCCCCAGCCAAGCTGCCCCACGCCTTTACTCAGTTTCCCCATTCCCCCTCATGCCTGCAGCCCCCACACAACCCTGCTGAGCTCCTATGGCCTCAGCAGCAGCCCACCACCATCAGGCCCCTCTCCCCCCTCAGGGTCCCCACAACCCTCTCCCCAAAACTCCCCTCATCACCCCCAGGTGCCGGTTCCCTCCCGTCCCTCAGTGACTCCTCACCCTAATTACCCCTCATACTGCCCAACCTGCCCCCTCAAACTGCCCCTCACGCCAAAACCCCTCCTCACACAACCCCCTGCGGCCGGCTGCCCCCTCCTCACAGAGCCCTCACACCAACGACCTCTTGTATCAACGACCCTTCACAAGAACACCCTCCCTCACAAACCCCTCGCACCGAAAGCCCCTGACACCACCACCCCCTCCTTACAGAGCCCCTCGCAGCCGGCTGCCCCCTTCCCAGTGACCCCTCACACCGACCCCAACAGCCCCTCCCGCCCCCGCGCCACAGCTGCCCCTCCGCCGCCCGGCCCCGCCCCTGCCCCCCCCGCCGCCCGGCCCCGCCCCTGCCCCCCCCGCCGCCCCCCGCCCCTCCCGCCGGCCGCGGCGGTGCTGGTGGGGGGGGG